CAAGTGTTTGCTCGACCACTTTATTGAGATGGCCGCTGCTGTAATCTTTCCACAGACCTTCAAGGATTTGTAGTGAGCTGCATGTCACTGTTATCATCAAACTTCCTACTCTGCAGTTTGCAACACTGACTCCAAGCTGAACTTTCAAGTACTCTAGAAGACTTTGAAGTCCGTTTAAGGCAGGGGAAAGAATAACTCTCCAAATGTAAGACTCCATCTGAAGATCTTGGCGATCAGACTGTGGTTGCTCCTGGTTTATAGGCACTGTAACTATGCTTTCAGATGTAGCTGCTACTGGTGATGTAGCGACCATAGACAAATGGCTTGGGCTTACGACGATGACAACGAGAGGTAGCCTATAATCTGAAAATAAACAAAAACAAATAATATCCTTAGACTAAAAAGAGCACACCGCCCCTGCATTTTAGACCAGACTATGGTTTTCTCATATTGGATAGCCTGAGGTCTGCCCAAACTTCGGATCACACACGGGTGTAGATCAAATGAAGAATATGAAAAATAAAAAGATGGAAATTCTGGACCATATTACTACGTCTCTACAAAGAGCTTATCGTGCCACATTTCTATTATTGTTCCACTATATGGCATTTTTGCGACTCTAGGAATAGGGATAAGTTAGAAACATTGAACAAACGTATTCTTAGGGTCATTTTAAACGACAGAGTTTCATCATACAATGCTCTCTTAGAACGGATAGGAGACTTCAGTAATAGACGCATACAAAACATGCTTATTACTAGTAATAATCATGGATTAACTGAATGCGTTCGAGTCAATACAGTTAAAAGCATTGGATACTGCCAGGATAATTATATTGTCACACCACGTTCCTGGTTTTGACATTTGCTGTGTGTAAAATTGGCAAGTATCATCCACCATACTCTGAACATAATGTTGTGTGCTCATTCCAGGCATGCGAATTTGCAAGTGCAAATCTGCAGTTTTATAGGGCTGATGTGAAACAGACTCAAAGAAAACAATCACTACCGCTGGTACCACGAACATCCTACGAAATTTAAGGCTTTCACTTAGGCAACCTCGGGCTAAGTCTCCATTTACATCTCCAGGAAACAAGTCTCCTTTTAAACAATTATTGCAATAATTTCCAGAATACATCTATTATTTTCATGGAATCTATCACTGAGCTACATAGATTTTCGGAATTAATATTACTCTTGAAGGCCAATTTATGTTTGCTGATTTTCATGACCAACTCATATTTGATAGTGTTCACTTCTACACCAAAAGGACACTTTATTGTAATTCTTACACAAATTCATGATAAATGAGGTGTTTGGCACACTATTCATAAACTGGTATGTAAATTAGCACACAAAGGATCAAGATCGCTTATTTAAAGTTGAATAAATGAAAAGCCAAAATATTTTTTAAAAAAATCAACAAAAAAAACTCAACCTGATGTGTAAAACTGATAAGAAAACAAGGAATGAAATGAGTTAATTATTGACTTCGAAAGACAAAGTGTTATGCATGATGTGGATGATGCATGGACAGGGTACAAAGACATCTATCGCACGACGGCGACTGAAACACTTGGACAAAGAGCAAAGTCCCGGAAGGACTGGTTGAGCCCCTCCACCTGGAACTCTATCGAAGAACGACGGAAGCTAAAACAGAGCATTTTGAACTGCCGCTCGGAAGGAGTACAGCAAAACAGACAGCGGATGTACCAAACGAAAGACCAGGAAGTGAAAAAGAGAGCTCGGGCAGACAACAGGAGGCCCTTGGAAAGAGTCGCGGAAGACGCGGAAAGGGCAGCGCACTAAAACAATCTGAAAGAGCTCTAGACCAAAACGAAGCTACTAAGTGGGTGCCTCAAGAAGTCAAGCACTGGAATACGGACGAAAGATGGTAAAGTCATCACCACAGAGGAAGAAGTGCTTGAAAGATGGAAAGAGCACTTCTATGAGAACTTGAAGGTGGCCTGTGAAGAAACTGATCTTCCTGAAGGGTGTCAGATCGGTGACTGCGAAGATCCCATAGAGATGGACACTGGCCCGGTTACAATCCTAGAATTGAGACAAGTCATATCTCGGCTGATGAACGGTAAAGCACCTGTTGTGGATAACGTTAGAGCAGAAATGCTAAAAGCCAGCCCTCCAATTGCCCTGGACCAGCTTCTGAACATCTACAATCCGACTCTCGATCAGTGTAAAGTACCATCTGACTGGAAGAGAGCTCTCTTGGCCAAAATACCCAAGAAAGGTGATCCGTCTATTTGTGACAACTACCGAGGGATATCCTTACTTTCAGTACCATACAAAGTCTTCTGCAGAATGCTCCTGATGAGGATACAGGATGGAGTTGACAAGAAATTACGGCTAGAACAGGCTGCCTACTGAAGAGGAAGAGGGACAACTGAACAGATTTTCATCCTCAGGAATATCTTAGAACAGAGTGCTGAATGGCANACACTTGGACAAAGAGCAAAGTCCCGGAAGGACTGGTTGAGCCTCACCACCTGGAACTCTATCGAAGAACGACGGAAGCTAAAACAGAGCATTTTGAACTGCCGCTCGGAAGGAGTACAGGAAAACAGACAGCGGATGTACCAAACGAAAGACCAGGAAGTGAAAAAGAGAGCACGGGCAGACAAGAGGAGGGCCTTGGAAAGAGTCGCGGAAGACGCGGAAAGGGCAGCGCACTAAAACAATCTGAAAGAGCTCTACATCAAAACGAAGCTACTAAGTGGGTGCCTCAAGAAGCCAAGCACTGGAATACGGACGAAAGATGGTTACAGTCATCACCACAAAGGAAGAAGTGCTTGAAAGGTGGAAAGAGCACTTCTATGAGAACTTGAATGTGGCCTGTGAAGAAACTGATTTTCCTGAAGGGTGTCAGCTCGGTGACTGCGAAGATCCCATAGAGATGAACACTGGCCCCTTTACAATCCTAGAATTGAGACAAGTCATATCTCGGCTGATGAACAGCAAAGCACCTGGTGTAGATAACATTAGAGCAGAAATGCTAAAAAACCAGCCCTCCAATTGCCCTGGACCTGGGATATCCTTACTTTCAGTACCATACAAAGTCTTCTGCAGAATACTCCTGATGAGGATGCAGGATGGAGTTGACAAGAAATTACGGCAAGAACAGGCTGCCTACCGAAGAGGAAGAGGGACAACTGAACAGATTTTCATCCTCA